CCACTCCTCCGCGGGCTTGAATGGGATGTGTGGGGCTGTGTGGTGCACCACCGTGAAGGTCGACATCCAGAAGTGGTAGCCCAGCCACGGCATCAGCCTGGGGGTGGGGGTAGGCGAACGAGGACGGGTTCAGCAGGGGGGAGGGACTGGCATCGACCGGTCAAAGGGGTCGGGGCGCCCCGGGTTGGGAGAAACCGCAGAGGGGAGGTTTTTTGGGGGGGCGCCCAGGGCCCCGCACACCTCCGGCTGGCGTGCAGGCTGATGGGAGCCGGGCGCCGCGGGAGCCCTCCCTACACCCTGAACCCAAACCCTGAACCCCAACACCCTCACCAGTACTTGACGAGGCCCTCAAACCCGGTGAAGTAGGTGAGCGTGGGCAGCGCGATGAGGCCGAACGCCGCCACCGCCGCCAGCGACACCAGCACGCGCGGCCGCTGCTTCTCGGTGTACTTGCCCAGGTCAAAGTGCCAGATCAGCCTGGGCGGTTTGAATTCAAATTCGGAATTCAGGATTGCGGGCGGCGGGAGATCACATTTGGGGTCGATGAGTGTGGGAGGTCTGTGTGCGGACGGGGTGGAATGCTTTCAAAGTTCATGATGGGGTTCTGGTTGGCATGAAAACAGGATATTCAGTAGAGGATATTACAGCTACATCGTAGAGAAATGTTAGAGCGGGCGCGTATCGGCAAGCGTGTCGTCCCTGCGGGCGCCGCTGAGCCCCAATAGGAGGCCCCGCACTGAAGCAGAATAACCAGGGGCAGATGGGGCAGATGCCTCTTGCAAGCGCCCCGCCGCCCTGCAAGCTGCGCCGGGGTTCGAGCCCTGCACCCCTCAATCCGCCCCCAAAAGCATGCCACCGGCGCCGACGCCCTCGGCGCGGTCAAAAGCTAAGGGTTCAGGGTTCTCGAGGGTGGGGTTCAGTGGCGCGCACCAGTGGCCGATGGAGGCGAAGCACTTGAGGGGCGAGCCCAGCACGAACTTCCAGACGGCCGCCTGCGTGGGGCTCCACTTCTCCATGACCTGCGGACGCGGGCGCGGCGCGGCGGACGGGTGTGTTTTGCAGCTCGCGTTGATGCGCTGGGATCGTGCTCGGCGCACTGCGCTGCGCGGGACTGTGCTGCGCGGGACTGCGCTGCGCTGGACTGTGCTGCGCTGGACTGCGCTGCGCCGCGCGGACGCCGCCCGGGGTGATGCCCGGAAAGCCTGCAGGCCACCGTTGTTTGTGGGGCGGCCACCCTCGCTCAAGATGACCTCTATCCCACACACAGCAACGCACGTTTTCACACACTCGCACTGACACATCACACTTTTACACACACACTCTCACACTCAAGCACGCCCTCACCTCGGGCATCACGGGGTGCCACGCGGTGTCCTCAACCAGCCTGTTGTGTGAGAGGGCGGGTCATATGGATCCATGCTTACATGATAGTGTGTGTGTTTGTGGGTGCGTGTATGCGCATGCATGCATGCATGCGTGCATGTGCATGTGTGCGCGTGCGTGCGTGAGTGTGTACATGCACACAAGCTTGATGATTCGAATGGTGGTTCGAATGGTGATTCGAATCGTCCCCGTGGAAAATGTCACAGCCAATTTGACCATTCATAGCACCACACGGCCAACAAAGGACTCGAACCGTCGGGCGGGCCAGGCAGCCGGGCCACCAGCCGCCGCCACTCTTGTTGTCGCCCCCTCCCCCCAAACGCCATCCTCCAGCAGCAACC